CCACTGGGGGGTCAGCACAAAGGTCAAGAAAACCCACATTTGAAAGGGAGACAACGGATGACCAAGAAACTAGTGACTTGCTCAATTCATTTGTGAGGGATCAGCTGCACTTCTGGTATTTTGTATACCAGCAATTGAGGGTGGACAATTTTAATACCACTTAAGTTTCAAATAATTGTGTTAATTACTTATTGTAAAGCATTTGAACATTCTTTTGTGTCACATGCTCATCATTAAGTTGATGTATAACTTTATAGTATCTTAATTATTTAAAATATAAGGTGACTAAAAATGGCAACCATATTTTCAGTTTTGGCAACCAAAAGCTGATGCCTGGTTGCCATCCTGGCAACCAATTAAAAAAGTTAGCGTTGAGCCCTGGAGTCGAAGGAATTTCCCCGCGATGTTCGAAATTATTGATATTTATCGGAACGGTATCGAACCTTCTTTTTTAAACTGACGGTTCGAGATTACTAGTAGCCCAATATTTCATTGCACAACAGTTGTTAGGAGGCTGTCACAGGCTCATTAAGGATATTGCTTCATCCAGAGTAAGTGGAACATCTGAAAAAAGGGATGATCTTTTCAGTGACCATTATTTGATTAAACTCAAAATACTGCCATTTAAGCACTGTGAAAGATTAAGATTTCACATCAAGCTACGTGCTGGAGTTGACCTATAATTTGTGATGTGTGACCAATTTATGCAGCATAATTCACCAACATAAGCTGGCGAATTATGCTGCATTTCCACTGCTTGGTTCTGCTCAACTGAAGCCACCTTAGAAGAAGTTGAGGATATGACGTAAATTTAAAGCAAATTGAGCGATAACTACAAATAGATATTAAAACACTGCAGACGCCTGATTGGTCAGTGAGAAACGACATAAGTGCGACATGGGACATCCCGAACATGTTTATTAAAAAGCCCACAAACCATAAATAACTAACCGCCAAGTGCTGACATGTAATTATATGGAGTAGCCAACAACAACAACATGGTCTAAACTTTGTATTTAACCCGTTCACTCAGTAACTATAAATACTGACCTGAGCGATGGCCGCCTCGTTGTCTGCCAGACCCAACAGGAAGACCCGGGCCTTGTCGATTTTGACGGGCACCGACCGCCCTCGCCACTCCACCTCACTCATGGTGGCGGCCTGCTTGGTTCTCGCTTGAGTGATCAGGGCCTGAGGAGAATAATATTAAAAAAAAGTTTGTTTTGACTTAAACATTGATTTTCTGATCTACATGAGAGAAGGTCTTTGACTATTCGAGCTTGTTCAAAAATAACAATTATATATACACACATGAATAGTTGAGGATTGTGAGTGTGTTTCACACGTTACATTGGATAAGGCCTCACCAATACAAGATGAATCATGGTACAAGCAGAAATAATAATGTACTGTTTGTTTACCTCTAGTTTCTCGGCCATCATGCCTCCTCCTCCACCAGTCAGTCGCATCTGCATCAAGTCATTGATGGCGTTCTGGTCACCTTCAATCAGCAAAGGAAAAATAATCCAGTTACATGGTGTTTGTGTATTGAAGAGAAAGGGTGGTGTGATTTGAGCTTTGGGACATTTGTAAAAAATGTCTCACGGTATATTGATCATTTTAAGACGGCAGTCAATCATGTCGAGGGGGATACTGCGTTGTGTGCGTTACTCACCAATGTTGTAAGCACAGTAGCGGATGTTGGGGGATATCTCGTCCACACGCTGGCGATACAGCACTGCCAGCTCCTCAGTGAAAGCACTGGCCAGCTTCTCATAGATGGTCCTGGCAAGAAAAAAAAGGTTGTCAAATGTTTTTAAAAAAGGTCATGTAAAATGCATACATGACAAACAGCACTACTTATCATTGTCATTTTGTTAAAAAACTGTAGTGATGTTTTAACTCACTTGCACTTGTTGAAGGCCTCCATGGCAAGCTTCCACTCCTGAAGTTCAAACTCCACCATACCAGTCAGGTATGCAGTGTAGGCCTGAATAATACACATGCACATTGTTAGTGGCTGTTAGAACATACAAATATGTATTTTGCTTCCTGTAACACAGCTTTAACTTCTAAATTCTACTGTAGGTATTAACAATGTATATCCTCTTTTTACACATGCACAGCAACCCTGAAATGATCTAGACCAGGGCTTCTCAAACTCCGGACCAAGGTCCGGACCGAACTGCAAATCAATCCGGACCGAACCCTGTGTCCCATTATTAAAAAAAATAAAATAATAATAATTATATATATACATTTTTAAAAAAAGTGTAAATTAAAGTGGACCTATTATGCTATATTGGAAACATATATTGTAGGGCCATACCTATACAAAACATGTCCGTGAAGTTTTTTGCTTAAAATACCAAACAGATCACCCATTGTAACCATGCCTCATACTGCTCAAACACCTCTTTTGCAGTCCTGTTAGAGAAACGTGGATTTTGGGTCCTTAGCTTTAAAAAAATAAAAAGAGGAGGCGGATAAGAATTCTACCGGCGATAAAGTTCAATTATGCTGTGATAAAACGCCATCCTGTTCTAAACCACATCAAAGATTACATTTTCTGAAACAGTATGGAGCTCAAATGCTTTTTCTCTTGCGGGTTTATCACAAGGTGAGTTCTTTTTTTTATTTCCTGCTTTTTAAAACACAAGTGCTCTGCAGTACAGGTTAGGTGAGTGTTAGCGACGCTTGCTAATGTAAACAAAGACGAGATTACGTCCAAAACATGTCAGGCATTGTTTCTGATAGCAACTTTGTGTGGGTCCGCCGCCGATTTGACGTCAGATCGGCAGCAAATCTGTACCCGCTCGTTGTACACCTGTTTTTAAAAAGATTTGGGTACGGTGGAAAAGAGAGGGTTTTATTGTCTGACGCTGCGCGAGTTCAACATGAACATGAAAGACCCTTTAATTTACTGCAACGACATGTTGGGAAACCCCCTCAAGGGGGCCCCGTGCGAGCCGAAACTTCGTTGCTCCGCTCCGGGGTGGGGGGGGAATTTACTGACATTGATCCGGACCATTGACCTTGTATAAAATTCACAAGTGGACCTTTAACAAAAAAGTTTGAGTACCCCTGATCTAGACATTACCTAGGAGCTGTATCTGAGAACCGAAACTTCTGAATTATTAGAACCATAATCAAAAGTACTTGTCCTTCCAGCTCCCTTAAACTAAGTCTTTGGAATGTCTGATTGTGCGAATAGAGCTGCTCATAGTACCATTATTTGGACAATGTTCATATGAAAAAACGGCTTTAAACATTTGTGTCACACATCGTGACAACCAGCTTAAAAATGTGGTATTTGAGTTGATAGGACTTTGGTAGCTTTAAGGCTATCATGGCGCATAATATATATTTAGTATATATATATATATATATAATATATTATACCTATATATATATATATATATATGTGGTCTCTGTTAACAATGCACATTCAACTGCACCCCTCAAAGCAGGTTCAAGAGGTTCTGTATACCTGTGCCTCAAGTTTGGTCTTAGCATCGACACGGGGGCTCTCACAGAGCTTCTCCAGCCTTTCGCTGTGCTTGGCAGCCTTGCGAAGTCGTGCCATCAGGTGGAAGCGCTTACGTGGCTCCGTGTTGGCCTCCTGCTTCAGCTGCATGGCGTAACTCCATGCACGCTCTGCCTCCATCAAAACTAGCAAAAGATACCTAAAGAGGGGGAGGACATTGCATCAGGTGTTAGGTCACATATTTCCATTTAAAGTAGACACATTGAATTCCTCACAAATGTTTTTAAGAGTCAAGTATTTAAATTCAGCAACAAAAACTTTTTTTTTCAAGGTTTACTTCTGTGGTTTAGCCGAGGGGTGTACATAACTAGGTAGGACTCAAGTGTTGTGCAGATACTTTTGTTAGGAACTGGCCGAGCTCATATGTGAGGTGAATTTATTATCCTGCATCAAACCCATGTCAATCTTTTATGATCTGTATATAAGGCTCATCAGCCAGTTAACTGCAACAGTTCAACAACAGTTCAAAACTCTCCCCTGACTCACCTGCTGTCAGAAATCATTTCAACAGTTATTTTCTTTCCAACAAACTTGTGTCGGTTGCCCATCTTGAAGCCAAGAGTCTTGCGCAGGCGGCGCAGTCTGCGGGAGCAGTAACCCCTGAAAAAATGTACACAACGATGGTTACATTACATTAAATGGAGCACATTTACATCTTCTTCATGGTCCACGCAGCCAGTTCATTTTCTCCAACTTGGTTTCATAGTTTTCTTTAAAAATCTATCATCCTTAATTGTCTTAGGAAGATTTGTTATTCTCAGAGTGTGCATATTTAGTAGACACTGACAGAGGTGCCTGTTCTCAATGTATAACACAAGAGATTGTTTATTTAACATGAAATACTGTCATACATTTATATATTCAGGGAATAAGTAGTCCCAGGTCACCAAGTATATTTTTTAAATGAAAAACTGTTAAGTCCTGTGCACCTCTTTGTGGACAGCCATGCAATATAAGAGAGTTAACCACAGGCATCTCTAGTCCAGTTGTTGCAGCTTGTTGACATGTAGTCAATGTCATGTAGTAAGACTGGGCACAGCTCACCTGTATCTCTGGTAGTCTCCGTGCCTGAGGCCATGCTGCTGCTGGGACTCCTTGATTATTTGCAAAACTGCAAATCAATGTTAAGGGACAACATTCTCTACATCATCACTAAAACAGACATGGTACACTAGCTTAACATCTGTCATTCATAATCAATTATATATTACAGCCATACGGACATATTTCTTTGAACAGTGTATAGTACAGATTCAGAATGACTGATGCTGATTTGTTGCAGAAAATCAACGTAGCAGCTTCTGAATCTCAAAGGCATCTGTTAACGTTACATGTAAATAACATGTCTAAAGTAGCCCTCATTCATTTAAATGCATCCATGATTTAACTTCATTAGACGTCAAAATAAGTGTGTAACAACCCAATTTAATCTGCTTTTTAAGCCTGCCAGTGACAGACTGCTTCAGTGTGACACGTAGCCTTAGCTAACGTTATCCTCACATAGAGCTAGCTAGCATGCTACCGTTAGCTTCTGAGTTAGACACAGATCATCCAGAGCAAATACAAAACCGCCGCTACACGTCCGCTGTTACAAAGGATACTTTCCAGTCCAATACCTCCATCCGCTGATTTGTTTTTATTTTCATCAAGGGATGACACTTTCGTGTCGTTTTGCTTGTCTGCGGCCATCTCTAAATGCTAACAGCTAAGCGGCACATACACATGCTCAGTCAGAAGTGGAACCAGGGAGCGACCAATGACTGCACAGGGAGGGGCGAAGCTACGTTCAAACCTCGCGAGATGTGACCGTATGTGTCTTCATGTCCACTCAATGTTGCAGACTGTTCTCTTCATAGATCCACGGTTGCTCCTAGGGAAAATCTGTTCGAGGTTTTTCCATTATGAACTACTTTTCATTTTTAATGCACTTAAAGGCTGCAAGTGATATACAAAACAATCCCCAATAATACAATACATTAAAGAACACTCTTATTATCTTCTAATAACTTAAAATCCAAAGTTTTAATGAAAAACAGCAGGGGAGGAAGTACTCATGACATAATAAGCCAGGATGCAGCTTCATTTATGGATCAATGAACTATCTAGTTGTCTTGATGTGACTATAATTGCATATTTTACCTAATATCCTCCTAAAAGTCTGTGTTGCAACAGTTTAATAAGTGTTAAATATGATGATGGTGTAATACGATTGAAAGATTATGAACAGTTATAATATAGACGTAGAGGTGGGATTCATGTGTTCTTCCAGGGTCAAGAATTATCTTAATCTCAAGGTTACTCAACTAATCTACAACACAACTAACGCAAGAGCACAAGGACAATCCCAATAAAAAAGTCAAACATTTAGGGGACATTCTGAATCCTTTAATGCTTAAAATGAGACAGAAATAAACTGACTTAACATTTATTCCAAATCTCCAACAATTCCTATACGAGTCACATGGAACTTCCAACAAAGCCTGAATTGAACTGCAGGAGATTCAAAACTAAAGCAGCACAATGTTCAGACTTTTCTTCCTGTTGCCATAACAAAAAGTCTATTCAGAGGTTGTCTGCAGCAGAAATGTATGTGGAGAGAAAGTTCTTTATTTCAGAGATGTGCTTGGTCTCTTTGATGGTGGTGTCTCTGCTGCGGACCAGAAGAAGGCCACTCTCCAGCGTGTTCTCATTGATCACCACCGTGAAAAGCACTCCCATCTCATCATACCTAAAATGCATCAACAGAGAATCAGATTAGTCCACTGATACAATGATAATTTGCACCTTATGATCAATTTAGATACTGATTTGCACTTTACTTTGTGTTCAGCTGCTCCATTGATGTTGGCATTGTTTCAAGATACCCAGGCCACGTAGAAATCTTAGCCTCTATAAACTCCTGCAGCAGCCCATCACAAACCTACAAAAAAATCAAACACTGATTAAATATAGTTCCTCTATTTCCTACAATACAAGCTAGTTGTATTAAATACTTCAGTGCTGATTATATCAATCACAAACAAGATCATTTTTACCGAGCCCTTTCAGATGTGTATACATATTTATATATAAACATTTAATCAAGATAAAAAATAACTTATCTGTGAGTCCAAGACATGTTTTTCTTACCTGTCGCAGCTCGACAGTGCCCCCCCTGCCAATGTCTAAAGCCACTTTAACTGGAGCCAACACTGGGTGCAACTTCAGAACCTGAAATTAACAGTGAACCAAAATTCAGAAACACAGAAAACCACAACATAAAAGTGAGCTATAAACATCCTGATAACTGTTCTTATGTAACAGGCTCTGTGTCAGCTCTTGTTTATCACATTTCGCTGCAGCATCTTCTTCTTGCTGTCTTCTTTCTTCAGCTGCTGGAGTGAGTTGGATAGAAAGGCCATTACACCGCGGTCCATGTTCCCAGTTACTGAGATGACGTGAGGGACTGATTTCCGACCATCTCGGCACTGTAACATGTTTAGAAAGAGAATTAACACTGTATGTGATTACACTGAGGAAAGGCAACACTAGAAGGGAATAGTTTCTTGTGTGTACGAGCTAACACATTAGATGTAGCCTGATAGCCAAAGGTGTTACAGTCATTAATAATATCAATAATCACACCTAGGTTTTTCCTGACTTAAAAATGTCTTCTGTAAAAAAGCTATATGAAGGGAAGTGTCAGATATTTATGGGAGACACTTCATTTCGAGGAGGTTTGTTGACCCCTATAGCCTAGAACAAAGGTTGAAAGAGAAGATTCTAAAAAATAATATTGTCCATTAAAAAGGTGATAAAGCATGTATTATTATCTCATCATTTGGTTAAAAAAAAAATCAGTACACATAGTTAAAAACAGTGGCTTTAAACTGGAGAAGGACACTTAAAAAGAGGTAGCAGACTGACCTGCAGTTTGGCGCGGACTCCGTTGTGTGTGTGCAGCAGCTCGGTGCTTCCTCTGCTCCATAGCGTCTCCACGGGCTCCTGTCCCCACGGGAACCTGTAGAGGATCCTCACACCACGAGACGCCGCCTCCTCCAGTTCCTCCTCTGGGACGTCACTACTGCTGAAGTCTGATGGAGACAGGGCAAACTGGAAAGACAAGGTGATGAGCTGAAGTTAGCATGTTGACTTTAAGTAGGAGTAACTTAATAAGACAAACTTATTGATGTTCAATTATTTGACTCAAACATCAGGAGCTTTCTTGGGAGAAATGTTGTGGTATGGGGCATCGTAGGACCATCAGTGAGTATACAGTATCTTAAAGCTATAATATTAAGTATCAATGATGGGGTCGAAAGATATTTAGATATTTTTAAGACACAATTTTGACAAATATTATACGGTATAACCGCCATGAGATTGTAGATTTATTCTTATCCAAGCAAATCAGTAAAACATGAGAATACGTCATGTTTTCAACATTTGAATAATGTGTGCGTATCTTGGAAATGATAAGGATCCGTTTCGATTGATTCCTCTGATATACTCATATTTAACAATACTCACTTTCCTCCACCACTTGAGTCTCTGTCGGTTCCAGTGATCCAGCCACTGAGAAGAGGTCCGAGGAGGGCAGAACCAAACCAGAGACGCTTGGGTCACCTCAGCTGGGCTGGCGGGAAAAAATGTTTTCATTATAATACTTTGGGACCAATATATTATGCAGTTTACTGTATTAAAGAGTATATTTTTTGGAAATATAGCACAAATAAATACATTTTCAAATTAAGGCAGATTACTTTGGTTATGAACAAATACTTGTCTTCATATAACATACAGGTGATAATAACATCAACTTGTCAAGCAATACTTAGAATTAAGGCTTTCAAAATCCCAACTGGAATATGTATAGAGCAAGAATATCCATTGAACAAGTATACGTGTCCACACACACACACCCACAGACAGACCGACCGACCGACAGACAGACAGACAGACAGACAGACATTAGATGAAGCCTCACCAACCAGAGCCATCTGAGGGCTGAAAGCACAGCCCAGTCTCAGCCAGGCCGAAGGGCAGCTTCCTGTTCACCAGCTCCAACGAGGGGACAAATTGCTCCAAGGCACCTGAGAAAAAACACTTACTTAACTGGGGTTGTTTTTTTATTAAATGTCTTTTATTTCTTACTCCAACAAAGTAAATGATCAGGGTGGAAAACAGGAGTTTCATTGTTTTGTTAAAAGGTAATGCTGCTTTATCTTTTTATCCCATTACAAGATGACTGGTGTAATATTTTGTAATCATCATCGTTTTCTTAGGCATGTCCAAAACTAGAAGATAATAGAGAAAAGGTTAAGACAATTTAAACCACATAAGTTGATGGCTGCTGGGAAATACAACTGATATGTACTCAAAGGTCTTGTGTTAATAGCGAAGACGATTAACTGGCTTGAGTCCAATCTGCCAAAATATTGTCCACCTTTATTTGGATAATTAGTAAATGAATGCATCACCTGTCTTATATCTTGGTATTGTCACGGCTTTCCCCCCTAAAAACCACCATTACTTGGTTATGTAAAGTTGCGTGAGAATTGTTTTTATTACGTTGAAATCATTTTACTACTCAAATTTTCCCATACATGAAGTTGCAAAGATATAATAATCAAAGAGTGAATCTCTGTGGAATATGTTATGCAGTACTCTACCTTGAAGAAAGCCTGTCCTCAGTGAAGGGGACCTCTGGATGAGTGTTTGTATCTTCTGCAGGAGCTGGTGGTTGCTCAGTTCTTTCTGTTGAAGTATGTGTTTTAACTGTTCACTCTCAACAATGCTCAGTCCATCTGTTGCTGTACCCTTACTGCTGCTCAGAGTGTTTATCCCAAACACCTGCTGTGTTGATCCGGTCACTGAGAGCCACCACTGCTGCAGCAGGTTTCTCCTCAGCTCCATGCCCAAAGGCCCATAACAGCAGCTCATCCCCCGCTGAAAGAGCTCCGTGTTAGGCTGACCTGGTGAAACATAGTGCCTGTCCACACAGAGCTCCAGCAAAGTCCTCACTTGAACCACAGCCTCCCCAGGGGGTGAACTGCAGAGTCTCCTGGTGTGTTGCAGAGCCAAGGTCACTCTGCACGGTGAGGGTTTCAATTTGCAAACGTTTCTGACACAGCAATATAACATGATGAGAAGGTTGAGAGGGGTTAATCCAAAGAGTGTCTATGGCAGTGATGACTTCTCATGAGTAAACCCCTCCTGAAAGACTACAGACAGTCGAAATAAAACTTAAATGCCAATGTTATATAAATATTTCTTTTCAATAATTGCTAGACCTAAATCTAGCAAGTAACCGTTCTTAAAACATAAAAAAAGTTATTTGTTTTTGTTGAACCCAATATGATCAATGAGATCCTCCGTCCGGTCAGCGTTACTTTAGCTAAGCTAACGGCATGCATGCTAACGTTGCACACATCAAACTATCAGAGCATGTCGGTGCATTTACAACTATATGCACTCACCGGACAGTTGCTAATTAATGTTGTCCGCTGCTGTTGTCACAGTAAATACACAAAGATAGCCGCATGATACATTTTTGAAATTCACAGGAGGTACATGGGATCTTTGACCCGGAAGTGACATATTACATCCGGGTTATGGAACATTCTTTCAGAAGGTGTTTTATTTGTTTTTGGAAAAGAGTACTGTGTCCACAAAAATATGGTTTAATAAATAATATACAAAAATATATGCATCATAGGTCAAAAATAAATGTATCCAAAACATTTATATATTTTTAAAATTATAGTGCTATAAAGATGCAGTTCATTATAATGTGAATGTCCTTAAGAACATTAATATAAATGTCTATATGAATTGCTTGCCTAGTTTTCTTTATATTATGTTGGATATACACCGTAACACACATACAGTGATTAAACAAATTAGATTGTTTTTTCACTTCTTCACTGTTGTCTTATAAAAAAAGTATTTTCTCCCTTGACTTTGATAAAGTGCTGTTGAGGAAATTCTTAATTTATGTTTAGTTGTTTTTAAAGGTAGAAGGATACATTTAAGTAATCATTTAAAGATAGAAATGTTAACATTGCAACTAGCCATCACATATCCAAGGGGGACATTACCTCATTGTCCTGGTAACACTGGTGGTAACTGCAGCCCTGAACTAAAGTCCTAGCGTAATATGCACTTTTGCATTCAGGTGGGTTGAAAAAGGAAGAATCGCAATATTAGTACACCTGTAAAGTGACTTTTTTTTCTGTCCATCTGCCTTTGTTCCTACTCCCTTTTTAACCTTGAAGGTAATGTCACAAATCTTCTCAGGAATTAGGCATTTGTGATATAGCTAGGTTCACACATGTGGTTAAGAAGGACCAAGATCGACATAAAAAAAAATCTGAGTTTTAATAGTTCTATCAACCCAACCTTACAATACAGTAAACACAACACACGTCCCATTTTCTTCTTTTTATTTAAAAGGGTCACACTTACCCTTTTTAAATGATCTTCATAACATCACTATTAAAACACACGACTGAAAATTGAAAACACAGCATTACCTAGTAAAAATAAATTACTGAGGAATGTAACAAAAAACAGTCAAAGAAAAGTGCTGCAATCATAATTGCACATTAGGAGATTTTTTTTATGACTCCAAAATAATGCTCTGGGTTTACTGGATAATTCCAACCCTGCTGTAAGCAAAACAAAGTTAAACAGTACAAAGGATAATAATAATAATAATAATAATAATAATAATACTGTAATATTTCAAGACTAAACCAAAATCATGTTGGTTCAATTTAATCTGCGCATAACTTATCTACTGTGGGAAGGTTGGTGGCATGGGGTAGGGCACCATTGGTGGTGGTGGAGGCTGTTGGGCCTGTGGTGGTGGCTGAGAGTTGAACGGGAATGGTGGGTGGTTCATGCCATTCTGAGCAGCCCTCTGCATGCCCCCAAACTGAGGGGGGCCCTGGAAGCTTTGGTTACCAAACGCACCCACCTGGTTTGTGGGGAAATTACCCTGTCCATTACTGTTGCTGTAGTTGTTGTTTCCATAGCTACCACTAGAGTTAGCACTGCCTCCATAGCTGCCACCATTTTGGGCCTTATTACCACCAAAGGCACTCTTCGGCCCACCGCCAAACCCTCTATCCCCGTCCCTGTAGCTAGTACCTCCGAAGTTACTCCTCCCACCCCCAGAATACCTATCCCGACGGTCATCCTTGTAGCCACCTCTTCCACCCCTTCCACGACCTGCATGAGATAGAGACAGGAGAGTGGAAGATAAAACAAAAATAATCTCAATGATTAAAAAAAGGGGTCATTTACAGTTTGTCAGTGTTCATTGATACACATTCTAAATAAAGATGCACACAATATAAATCAGTGACACAAAGTTGAGACTAAATACCAATTCTCACATTGACTAAAAATATACTACATCTTCCTTGAAAACCATGAATAAACAGAAGTTTTAAATGTTACCTCCTCTGTCCTCTGCCATTTGGATCAGCTTGGGGTTAATGGCCTGGTTGGCCTCACGCAGCACAGCTATCAGGTCACTGGCTTGTTTCATGTTGTTAGGGGTGAAAAAGGTGTAGGCTGTGCCCGTTTTTTGACTCCGGGCTGTGCGTCCAATGCGGTGGATATAATCCTCGGAGGAGTTAGGGTAGTCATAATTGATGACAAATTTCACATCCTCCACATCTGTGAAAGTGTTGCAGTGTGGCAAAACAAAACATGGAGGCCACAAAGGATTTTGCACACCACAACAGCCAGATCAAAGGGAAAAGTTAGCAACTGTGAAAGCTGGGGGAAGAAAAAACGGTCGTTAGGCTGTGGAGGGAAAAGTGTTAATACAACATAAGATTGTGTATACATTTACTCCATGGGAATACTACTGTGGGAAGAGAGAAACGATGCACACTCCAATTGCTTACCATAATCAAAAAGATCCAAAAGACATTCACTCTCCCTTTTGTTAACCAAGGGAGAAAAACAATGGATTTAAGTCTTACCATAAAGGAGTATGCATTCACTAGTCCTTTCCCAATGCAGCGAAATCCCCCACAAATTGTCAAGTGACATCCAGGAGCTTCTACGCAGTTGGGCCTCGATGTGCACTGGGGCCTCCTCATGTGCCAATATACGACCATTCAGTGGTACATTTTTGCAGGTCCATTTTTCCCAGTACACTCTCAAAAGAAGCTTGATATTAAAGGCCGCACTGCAAGTCTTGCCAAGATAAAATAGACCAAGTTCTAATTTGAACAGGGGCCCCTTCAAAAAAAATGACAAAGGCCCAAGCATTGAACCCTGTGGGACCCCTCACCGAGCACGGGCAGAATTCCCCCTGCCCCCTTCATCAGTCTCATCAAGGCAAGATCTTCCAAGAAGCCAGTATTCACTTGAGAAAATGTCTCTCGTTGGCAGGTCTCGACATGACTTTAAAACACAGGCGAGGGAGGAACTTTGGTTTGAGCTGTCTCACTCTCTTTTTCCTCTCACTAGATGTTCCCACTACCCCCTAAACACATGTGCCAGGTCTCATCAATTTTCAGAGACAAATACAATATTTCAAACTGCTCTCTCCATGTCAAGAAAATCCAGCACTTTGACGGGAAAGAAAACAACTGAAAGCTTACCCATGCTATGTGATACAAGCTCCGAAAGGTAACTATTGTTCCAAATCTCAAACAAGTGACTTGCAATACAGCGCTCTCTAACACAAAAGCATGCAAGGCAAAAGTCACGACAAAGGATATATATTTTTTTTCTTTTAGGTTTGAGTTGGAAACAGCTGGATGGCATTTGTCAGGTGAAATCCATGGACAGAGAACAGATGTGTGTGTCAACACCATATCAGTGACAAAGGCTTAGCCACACAGCCTTTTGAAGATCACTGGCACACAGAGCTTTCACCTCTCTAGGCCCACTGGGTGGCAAGCCAGTTGAGCACTTCCAATATGTCATCCTTCTCCCTCTCGAGGCCTGGGACTGTCATGCCTAGCGCCTGCCACAAAGACTGCACCTTAAGGTGAGAAAAACTCAGAAAATGCATAGAAAAGTTAAAGAAAGCAAAACCAACTTTCTTTAAAAAAAAGTGTAACACTGATAAAAAAAAGTGGTAATACTCAATGTCATACTGACCCAAGCCACGGGAGGCCACATCGGTGGCAATGAGGATTGGAGCTTTGCCATATCTGAACTCTGAAGGGAGAGGGACAGTATTTAATTTAAATACAGAGCAGCTTGTGAGAAGGATTATTTAACGCTGTTATTTTTTAATTGCAACCTGCCAAGTTATTTATTGCATCTCACCATTAAGGACCCAGTCCCTCTCCTGCTGGCTCTTGTCTCCATGAATTCCCATTGCTGGCCACCTGTGACAGACATATTGGACATTAAACACTATCGAACAATAAGTAAGAGACAAATTATCATTGGGAATAGCCTGAATGTTACCTGTCCAGATAAACAGCAGAATTAAAAAGTATATTTATTTAAGTGGATGGAAGAGGAGATCCTTACCCATCTCTTCTCATCCTCCTGGTGAGCTCATCACAACGTCTTTTGGTCTCAACAAATATAATAGTCTTGTTCTCCTTTTCACTCATTATCTCCTCCAGCAAACGGATCAGTCTGACACAGAAGAGATAGAAGAACATTTTTTTCACAAAATGAACCTTATGTTTCTACTGATGCATTACAGTCAAACACTGAAGTAAGATTAAATAAACAATTTGTTCTTTAACTATGTGACTATGAAACAAGGTTTTCAGAGAAGAGGACTAATAGAAGGTTTTCCTCCCCCCATCACACTAATAAAAGAGGTAGGGATCCTTTACTCACTTGTCCTCCTTCTCCATGTCATTGCAAACATCAACTATCTGCAGGATGTTGTGGTTGGCACTGAGCTGCAGTGCCCCAACGTTGATCTGAACATAGTCCTTCAGGAAGTCCTCAGCCAGCTGGCGAACTTCCTTAGGCCAGGTGGCGCTCCACATCAGGGTCTGACGATCTGGCTGTTGGAACAAAAAGGATGCGGCTTGAAAGTAAGTATTTATCGGTTAAATAATTAAATTAACCAGTCCAATATATTGTATCAGTAATCTTGGTGAGTTCTGAACTACGAGTATTGGTCACAGGTGATTTGGTCAACTTGAATGGCTATGTATTTAATTCCTAAAAATGTGTCATGAATAAAGCAGCCAGGTTATAAAAATGCTTGCAGTGAAACACTTTACTTTAGTGTGAGATCAGACCAATGAGATTATCAATGATCGCCCAAGGGTCAGAAAATAAAACAACCTACCCGAATTTGTTCCACTATCTTGCGGATCTGAGGTTCAAATCCCATGTCCAGCATGCGGTCTGCTTCATCCAGCACCAGATAGGTACAGCGACGCAAATTAGTCTTACCACACTCCAGAAAGTCAATGAGACGACCTGGGGTAGCAATGCAAATCTCTACACCTAAAAAGTAAACATAGTATGATATATTTAAAATAAAAGCAATAAAATATTTTATCATAAAATCAATGACTGATGGCAGAGATGAGTCACATGAAAAGACTAATATCTACAAAGTGAGGAATGATTAAGTCAGCATACCCCTCTCAAGGTCCCTGATTTGTGGTCCCTTGGGCGCACCACCGTAGATGCAGGTGCTCTTGAGACGGGAGGCCCTGCCGTATTCAGCAGCCACCTGTTGCACCTGCTGAGCCAGCTCGCGGGTCGGCGCCAGCACCAAGCACTGAAGAAAGATGGACACAATTTTTTTTAATTATTATTTGTGTATGGCATCCATCACAAAAAAAGATCAAGGTAAACAAGGGTACTACCGCTACTATGTTTATCTTTTCATGGTAGACACTCTTCAGAAACAGCAGGGAAATAATTATCGTGCAGACCAGAACAACAACTGCCCCATTTAGACTGGCTCTGTGTTGCATGCCAACCTTTATCATTAGCAATGTGTCTGCCTACCTCCAAACAGGGGTTAACAAATATATAATTTTTTGGACAACTTTGGATTTTTTTCCCCTTGGAACCAGGTTGTATTTAAGATAGCAGCTTCACTTGTTTTTGACTTGTTTGGCACATTATATTTGTTTTAAACAAATGTTGCTTATGCAGCGATATATAAAGGGATGCATGAATCATGATATAAAGACTGGGCATCATCTGGGCCTTTAGCTATAATATTGTGATAGCTCAAAAGTTATTTTCTGAGCTTTAAAAAAACATTTGTTGGACTATCAATATCATATTGCGCTAATAAGAGACAGCAGGTCAGATGAAACAGTAGATTGATCGATTGATACATTTTATTTTGAACAAGTAAAATAAATTATTACAAAACAAATGTTGCAGTGCATACTAGTCATGTAAGAGAAATCAAAACAAAAAAATGACATTTACAACAACAACAACATTAGCAACATAAACAGTGCCACATCTAGTGTTCGAAAAGGAGTGAGAAAAAGTATAATTTATTTAATCTCACCCCCTTGTCCTCATTGATTTATAATCTATAATCTGCAATAATTATCATTATTATTAATCTGCCTTACCTGTTGATTGACACACACACACACACACACACACACACACACACACACACACACACACACACACACCTTCCCCATCCCTCGAGAAAATAATTTCTCTGTATTTCCTCTTGAACTGGTTACTGTCTGGACATCGCTTTAGCTCCACATTCACACTGTTCCATAGTCTCACTCCACATGCTGAGATACAAAAAGTTCTTCTGGTTGTACGAACCCTATGAATTTCGAATTGAAATTGTCTGTTGTTCACTAGATCAATAGATAATCAAGTGTACTTACTATAGGTCCATCTCCATGCTCCAAGAATGGTTGATGTTGAATGTGCACAATTGCAGGTAGGAGATACTAAAGAAAGAAAATGAAAAGAACTAAGCTCTCAAACACATCTTGACTCATTGAGCACATGCATCAGTGATCCAATGTGCAGCCAGCTGCCTAGTAATCAATGTCTTCCACAATATGGCAGGATATATTCCTTCCCTCAGCTGACATGTTTACATTGTTTGATAACAATCTGAAATGGTTATTTATGTATTGTCCTAGTTCTGTTCAATCAGTCAATCGCTCTTGGCAAAGGTGTAATGAACTTAGTTCCGCAATTAAAACACTTTGTAAGCAGTCTAATCTTTTGCCAAAAGTGTATTTCCTATCAGCCAAAAACTTATCTCGTATAGATGGTCTGAGAAAGAATAATTGGAAAATGATTCACTTACAGCAAGGGTTTTCCCAGACCCTGTTTGAGCGATTCCAACCATGTCTTTGCCACTCAGCGCAACTGGCCACCCCTGGGACTGAATTGGAGTTGGATCAGTCCAGTTATGATTGACAATGACTTCCATGACGTAGTCTGAAGAGGGAAGATACGTAAGGTAAATTGTTGAATGTCAAACTTTTGGACAATAACACATTGAAAAGGTAAAAAGTGGAGCATTCATTACTACTCACTTGGAAATTCAGCTTCATGGAATTTTATAATTGGCTTGGGGCAATCCCTGCCTTTGACCGTAACTTCTTTGTTTCTTCGGTACTGTTCAATCTCTTGCTGGAATTGAAAGAAGACATTAACGACCATTCAGAATAAACATACTGAAAAGCCTGCAGATAATAAAACATAGAAAAGGGAAAAAGCTATAAGTGGGTCTTACAACTGTTCTGCGAGTTGAATCTGAATGTTCCTGGTAAAAGTTCTTCTGAAACTTTGGAAGCTCGTCAAGGTTCCAGTGCTTCTTCCGCAGCCTCTCACCAGGGTTGCCAAATTTTCCCGGAGGAGGTCCGCCCCTACTGCCTCCACCGCTACCACCACCAAAACGAGGGGGTCCTCCACCATACCTTGTGTGAAAGAAAGACACACATAGATGATGTAGTGTCAGAGATTATGGACCTAATTAAAAAGGAGTAATCCAAAAGTCAAGTCAATTAACTAGTCGTGGCTAGTACTACAAAGCCTGTAACAGTTGTCATGTTAAATTTCCCTGATGATCTCTACATTTTACCTCGGCTAATCTTTGGAGGCTTTGCATGGTTTGAAAGAGGAAATTATAATATTGATTGCAAAATAGGAAGGTAGCGTTTTGTACTCTGATTCATACAATGATTTAAAAGTCTGAATATTTCTGCAATGACATTTCTGCTTGCTTTTTAGAATTAGAATATAATTGGTAGGGAGGAAACCTTCTTTAATGGTCACACATGCAGAGCACACAGCAGACACAGTGACATTTGTTCTCTGCATTTAACCCATCCTAGTACCAGGAGTCTAGTACTAGGAGCAGTGGGCAGCTATTGTACAGCGCTCGGGGAGCAATGGGAGTGAGGGGGGAAGGGGGGTGTCCGGTGCCTTGCTCTAGGGAACCACGGGAGGGCAGGAGGTGAACTGGGACCTTTCCAAGTAGCAGTCCACACTCCATATTTAGGCCTGGTCGGGGACTTGAACCGGCAACCCTACAGCTCCCAGTCCAAGCACCTACTGACTGAGCCACTGCCGGTGACTGCATTAAATACCTGGAATGATCCTTTTACAAAGTATGGTGAGATACAGGTATCTGCAGTATTTCCACCCTCCCTGTGTTATAGCTCCACATTGATAAAAGTAAACAAATGGCTTGAGGCTTTTACCTTTGTGAGTGAGGACACAATCTTCCAAAAGATAAATAGCAGTTCTTAACAAACCCAACACTTGCAGTGCCACATTTTTATTTATAGACCTTGCATATTGGCGTATACAAAGCCCTTTAGGAAACATGAAACTGTCAGACTACTGAGGTGGGATTGATATACATTATGGGGCTCAGCTTTACCTAAAGTACGGGACATTCTAGTTGACAACTTGACACTATTAATGGAAAAGCCCCTTGTTAAAAATAAATTGGTCGTCTCTGACACAGATATTGCTGTGTGATGAGAGCACTGACTGCGTCACATGGTGAGAGCCAGCCGGCTGCAGGCTGCTCTACCGCCGACACAGAGCTGTCATCAGCTGCCATTTTACCTCCAATAGACAGGGAAATAGAAAACAATGAAGATATTAACAGGCAGGGACGCTTGACCGAATTCAAATGTGTGTGTTATATTTCACTGCTCAAATGTAGCCGTATAACAACTAGTGTCTAGTCTGTCGACATGGACTACTACAGGACAGCTGTGTTGTTTTGATCCCTGACAGCGGTGAAAAGGCTAGGCAGCTCACCTCAGTTAACGATCATAAAACCCTCCGCTGGCACTTCACTTACCCTCTATCTCGTCCACGGTCTCTGTCTGAAAATCCAGGCATTATGCGGCAAACCACTAAGTTTGATGTACGCTTCGTTTGAATCCGATTAAACTAAACAAGATTGTTCGTAGAGCTGAAATTGGCACAGGCAAAACAAAAAGAAAATGCCGGCAGACAAAAATATGTCTGTAGAGACGGATGTGAGGTCATACAGGCGGATAACATTGTATCACTGCGCGGAGTATAACATACGAGTGGCACTATTTGTTGTCCTGTTCTGCTGGTATTTGGTTGTAGAGTCTATAGACATCTCAGATTGCTCAACAGCTCGCCATATTTGACCCGGTCGGCTGAATGGAGACATGTTGATGGGGAATTCGTTTTTCTCATAACGACACTGGTGATGTGTTATTCACCTCTCCTTCACATAAGGGTTTCCTTATTTAGACAATTTAGATTAGATTCAATTTAGTTGTAGGCCTACTTGTCATTGTACGTTGTACAGTAGGCTACAACGAAAAACGAAATGTAGTAAAAATATGGAAGATCCACTCTCTTGGAATAGCTATAGCAAAATAGTTGGTGGGTTTGCTTTCAGACATGAGTGTTTTCTAAGGCTCCTCAAAGGTAAGGCATTGTTTTTGCTTCATTAACCAAACAGCATTTTTGCTAAAATGACAGATGAAGCAGAATTATTTAAATTGACACTCAAGTAGCAAAACCTCAACCAATATCTGCAAATATAAGCACATTCTTAGGAAAACACTTCAAACACTTCCCTGAATTGGACAAAACAATCTTACATCACTTCATGAGAAGAGTAGACCTGCTTTTTACGAGTAATGTGGTTAGATAACTTCTTATGCTTTTGCGCGACATGCAATAAATAAAGATACAAAATACGTTCCTATATGACAAGCATGGTCAGGTGTACAGACAATAGGAGCTTTCAGTCATTCTTAACTCACCAATCAGGTTTATATATATAAATTGTAATAGTTTCATTATACAAAAGATGTGTGAATTGTGTATAGTGTTTTAAAAAACAATCATTGCTTAAGCAATCATAAAAAACGTAGGCCTATGCCATTTTCTACTCATCAACTGAACTTTCTTTATTTTGATTTGACATGCTCACCTTTCACATACTTCTGATAATGTGCACAAAGTTTACCAAAGTAAACTAAGCGTAATGAGATGAAGTGACAAAACGTTGATGTTACAGTTTAATGAAAGTACTACAGACCAACATGGCACAAGTGATCATTCCAGCTGTTTCCCAAATTATTATTTTTTTCTTTCTGCGCAGTCTTCATCTCTCATCAGATTTCCATATGGATCATAAGGGGCAGTAGCTGAAACAAATCCCAAAAAAAGTCAAATAAAATGTAAAACCAACATCCACTTCAAAATGTTTTCTTAACCTAATAGGACCTTTACCTATGGCCTCTGATGTAATACAGTACGGTAAATAAATTATAAAATTTACAATAACTTCAACACATACTCCATGGTCGATTGGTATCCCATCCATCCACCTTTTCCCCCTTGCTTTCTTCATCAGGGTGAATGATCCAGGTTCTCACAATTCATACCTGCGTTTCAAAGAAGAGGACATTCAAATCAGCCCGATTAAAAAAAGGAGTATTTATTTGTCTGAATAGGGCGAGCACCTGGCCCTACTTCCTACTTCCTAACGCGACTAGACATCCATTCATCCAGTGATAATAATTATACAAATTGTTGGTAAAGTGCTGTCGTTTTGTGTTTTTAATTCAAACACACCAGTGCATTCTCTATTGTTTATTCATTATGTGAAATGTTGTTTTTCAAACTGAGACTCAGAGCCACTCAATACCACAACAATTAACATCATAGCTGTCCCACCTCAGCTGGAGTAAACTGTTTAGGAGATAAATGTTAATACTATTTATAAACCTTACCAACAACAAATATGACTGAAACATGGAGAATCATGTATGTCATTATTTTAGCTTAAAAAAGTGTTTACTCACCACAATATTTCTTCCACAAGTTGTGTATGAGCTCAGTGTTATTGCGTGTTAGGTCACAAGTTCTCTTGAGAGTGGCGATATCTGCCAATATCTGATTTATATCTCTTCTGCAGTCAGCTCTGTCTTTATCTCCTTTTGTAGCAAGTAACAAAACAAAACAGCAACTGAATATTTTGTCTTATTTCAACCGCTTCTTTAACTAATGGCAAACAGAATTAGTGAAAACTCACTTTGGACCCCAAGGCCAATAATTCCGGCCAGGAAGAGAAGACACACCGCACAGAGAAACACTGACAAACTTCTGAGATGACTCCTCTTTCTTGAGTTTTCAAGGACGACTGGCACAAATAATGCAATACATGAAATATGAGAACATGACATTTAAAGAGAATTTAAAATCACACTGCTGTACCACAGAGAAAACTATACAAACATTCCATTTAAAAATGGATTGTATGCAAATAAAATCTGTTGTGTTTGCAAACCTACATGGTCATCATGTATGTACCGTACCTGGGTGCTGAGTCTCTGCAGGTCCTGGTGTGTTTGGGGACATGGCCTCCACCCAGGGGCTGTCATAAACTCTCAGGCTTTCTGCACTCACATAGATGTTCACCATGCTCTCCTTGTCGTCCGGCTCAAAGTAAACCTTGTTGGCGGTGCCAGGTTTGGCGTACAGCTCCCCCGACATCTTATGGCTTTTGCAACTTGAGGATCGCAGTATTACAGAGTTTAGTTTTTATATTGATGTATTAGCTGTGTCTGTTTTCTGAAAGAGGCTGGAAACACTCCGTATAAAAGGGGAAGAGTAGATAATCAGGAAGCCCTACTGTTCGGGCATGTGGTTCCCTCTAAATTAACCTGTTCATCGGTGATATAACTGATTTATTTATTTTATAACAAAAGGTAATGGTCAAGGTTCAGTGAACCTTTTGTTGTTTGCTGAAAAGCATGTAGATGATCCAAATCATAATACCTAGAGCCATGTGTGACTGTAGTAAAGCAGAAACATTGGACAAAACCCTTCAATGTATAATAACATGTTTTTTTAAATGATAGGTCTATAGTTTAAGTTCTTCTTTTCACATGAAATACATTTGATGGGTTATCTAAAAAAAAAAAAGTGTTTGGATGATTAATTATTTATTTTTATGACAGTGATTTTTAAACTGTCTGCATTATTGATAATGATTTTAGTTCCTACAATAACTGAAGAGCAAAAACATTTCCTTGCTAAGTGTTTTCCTGTCTGGAAATATAACCTTGATAAAACATGCTACTTGCACTTGCTACTATGAAGTCAAATTGTCTACCGCATGGTGTGAAATATACTTTAATATCCAAACGTATCATTATGTTAGTAGAAAATAGGAATACAATTTGTTGCCTTCTTTTACAATG